AGTTAACTTCTTTATACAGTCTTGTAAGTACTGATGTTTAAATTCATATTCGAAACATTGAATTCATATATTTTACGGCCTCAGGTTACTCAATTTTATTGTTTAACAGCATATACGAGTATAAAGTTAAATTATTATCGGTTTTCCTAATTTATAAAGTTTGCATGTAAAATACAAGATAATTTTTTACATCAGACGAAATGTTCCATACAGTTGATCCCCAATTTAGATGCTATTAACCTAAACAACTCTAAACCCTTTTGATCTTAAATTTAATATAAAGATTAGTGATGGAGTGATATATTGGAGCCAACGATTTTTATCTAACTATACCTAACTATTTTATAGCTATAATTATTATACATAAAATATTCCACGGTGATCTGTTTTGTTTAGAAATACCTCGTCATGAAAGCTTTGAAATAAATTCAAAGAACTCCGATTGATTCGAATTATACCAAGAATTCCGTAAGCCTACCTTTATTCTCTTAACTCATACCGATTTTATAGGTGTGTTTGGTGTATAATTTCACTCGATACGACACGATTTACATGCATATGTATGTGTTTTATTTTATGTAAAATCATTACGCCTAACTAGTAGCTTGTTCAATAATATAATCACCTACTTTAATTAAAAAAAAAAAAAAAAAACAAACATAACGGAGAATAAGTAATAATATGGTTGTCCAATTTTTAGTTATCCCGCTATAGAAACTGTTGAAGAAATCACCGGTTTCGTTACGATTTCTATTTGATAAATATCTACATTCAACAGAGCTTGAGACGCTCGAAGAAGAAAACGCCCAACTTTCACAGAAGGTCATATTCCAATGCAGTTAGTTGCTCATTGTGGATTCTTGCCAAACACATATACCAAAATATCACCATAAATTTCTTTTAGCCACCTAAGGCGCAATTATTACTAAGGCAACAGTGCTGGTTTTCCAAAATGTAATGTAAAAACATTGTACTTTACCAAACAGCACCTGTGCCAATAACTATCCCAAGCAAAGTAGTTAAAAACATTTTATATTCAAAAATCACATAAGACATGACAGCGATAATTTTCTTTGCCCTGAAAGTTTTCCAGATAATAACAAATATTCCTTGAGTACATCGTTACTAAGGCCCTCATAGACGACGTACCAGTATATTTGAACGGTATACATGTAGAGTCCGATTACAATAAGAAGAACACCGCTACGTCATAACCATTATTTCGAATTTCAAATATATTATCTATAAGTATCTTTGAATAAATAATGAGTAAGTTGTAAGGTATACAAAAATAATTAATATATTCTTATATTAACACGGCACCAAACCAACAGTAGCCGGCGTTATCCAACAAATTACTACGCTAAGCGATGACGTAGCTGTGTTCTTCTTATTAGGCATTCCAACGACCTGTCCAAATGGCTACCAGTGGGTACTGACAGTTTAGATATGGCAACCCTGTTGTCATGTTGTCATTAACAGGGTCAATGATACATATATGTTAGTTATATACATTGCTCAAAGCTGGTCGTTTGCGAGCAGCCATATTGTCTGGCAAATATTTATTAATTTGAATCAGTTTAGCAAAAATGTGTTTTAAACCCAATTTTAAGACTTTAGATATTTAAAAAATAATAATTGCTTATATTTTTACTTAAAGGCATAAGCTTATGTTTATTTTAAAAAATAGGGATGATCAATCTATGTAACTATCTATTTCACTCACCTTGTCAAATCACCAGGCCTACAGAGTTGCCATAACTTTGCCACATCATAACCTGTCAAAACCCACTGGTAGTCATTCAGTTTGGAATGCCTAATTGTAATCGGACCCTACAAGTATACTGGGACGTGTTTTTTGGTAACATTTGCATAAGCACGTTAATTGTACAAGGGACATGAGACTTGTGGAAATTCTATATTTTTACCTGTGCATGTCGGACTTGCACAAGTGGAATAATTGAGCGTGTGTGTGAAGGACTTGTACAGACAAGCTTGAAACAGTTGAGGTTTATCTCTAGAGTAGTGCGATTTACGATTTTAGTGCTACGAGTATGTTGTGTCACTTGAAAAAAAGGACAATTTATTTCTATTTACGAACATGAACCTTGTCTATGACACATTAAAAGACAATAGTACCAATCTTAGATAAAAGAAACAACAATTTCAGGTTTGCAATAAGTCTGATTTTAGCATGGAATTTATTTGTCTCTAATTACGATGTCGCTATTAGTGGCTGGCGTTATAGAAATTTGCAATATCTCTCTGTTTACACACATGTTTTTAAATGAGCACAATAAAAATAATCTTATAGTTTTATTTAAAGTATTTCATAGCAGAGGAATGACACTAATGACAGTTTGTTTGATTTGGTACAGTGTTGCCAGAATATGTTTTTGTTATGTACCAGATTTGTCAAAAGTGTTTCTCAAACTTTTTTGGCGACGGAACCTTTTTGAAAAGCGAAATATTTGACGGAGCCCTAAACACATTTCTAAAAAAAAATGGGTCTCAAGCAAATGCATATCCTCTTTCCTCTTAGTGACTTCTAAAAAAAAAGATCCTCAAGCCAGGTCCCTCCCTTTTGTAGCGATAGTACTGCTTTTTTTATTATGACTATTATTTTCTCCACCGAGTCCCCACAAAGGCTTTCCGGAACCTCAGGACTCCGCGGAGCACACTTTGAGTAACACTGGTCTAAAAAATGTACTAGATTCCTTAAGTGTACCAGATTTTTGGAATTCTATTTGCAGAGGAAAAAAAAGGGGGTCTTTATAGATAACGAACCCAAACAAGGAACACAATATATATATTTTACACGTGAACACTGCTGTACGCCGAGGAAGAAAAAGTACTAGATTTTGCTTCAAGAGTACCAGATTCTTCGAGAATGTACTACATCTAGTACTATTGTGAATTGTACTAGACTGACAACACTGCTTTGTATTTTTGTGAGCGGCGCGCCAATTGATGTGTTCTTTTGCAGTTTGAAGAATCAGTTGGCGTGTTGTTTTCTCTTTTTAGCCTGTATGCATTCACAAAATCCTCTCGCTCGTCTGGGCTCCGCTCATCATTATGCGCCACAGACACAGTATACTGGTACTGGTAGGTATACTGTGCCACAGAGACGCGATCAGCCAGGAGCAATGATGTACCAACAAAATAGAGATTAATAAATAAAAATATTAAAATTAAATTTATATTTGTATGTTATTTATGTAATTATAAAATAATGTGTTTTTATAAAATTTAACTGTGTGTTCACTGCACAAATGAACCAATGGAGAAACCGCCCCTGGTCATGATAATTATAATAAATAATCCGTAAAGCTCCAGGATCAACTGCAGACCTTCGGAGACAAGAAACACTTTTACTCTTGTGTTGGTGTAGCCCGCATGACAGACAGATGATGGTTTTCCATGTAGATAGGGGAGGATTAACTTAAAGGACGATAAAATAGTCGGTTCTGTTAATCTAGCCATCAAATAACGACCATTGTCGGCAAGCAATTTCTTTGTTAGTGACAGTAGGATGAGTAAACGGGTCTAGCGGATTGTTTGGGTGATCTTGTGATTCTGTTATAATTTGAAAGGACTTATCACAGAAGTTGTTGGATTTACATGCTAAGATAGCATGTTTGTCAGAGGAGATGGCCACTACTGTAGATCGATTTGGGCCGAAAGTTTTACTAGAGGAAAAATCCAAATCAGCAGGGGTTTCGTTTAAGCAGTGGTCTCTCCGGTCACGTCGTGGATGGGTGACCGCTGGGGCTTTCGCACTTTCCGAGCTAAAAAATGATCGGAAAAACGCATTTTCTAAAGTGGCAGCGCAAAATAGCTATTTGTTTATTAAGAGCGAAAAATGATACTTTGCAGCTTCAAAATCATTTGTAAAAAAAAATAGTCGTTTGTGCAGCAAGAATGGATGTGATGATCATATCGCATGAAGACGAAGTCCAGTGTGATATGGACAATTAACTCGAGTTGTACAGTATATTTTTTCTGCGACCCACTAACGAAAATCTACAAATTTAAAAAACTATTTTAGGTTATTAAACAAAATAATTAAAAATTTTACTAATTTATGAAATAAAATAAAAATTAATAAATAAAAAAAGATTTAATTTAATTAGTCATCCGCCCAGATTCGAACGCGGGTCTCTCACATGAAAGACATATACGGCATCTGTCTCCACATTTAGGATTTTAATACTTGTAATAATAAAATTAGTTTCATAGAGTTTGATTTAATTTTAGGATTTTTTTCAAAATGTGGACCAAATAAAAATAAATATGCTATTATTTATCGATTCTACACAAAAATAACTCATTTAAATGTATATTCAACCTCAATAACTAAAAAATATACTGACAATTAGTTTGACAGAATGTCACTTATTTAAAATTTTTAATTTTGTCATCTGCCCAGATTCGAACGCGGGTCTCTCTGAACTGTGATTTTTTTGCACTACCTAGCAGGATATGACATATATTCGTTCAGTTGAACGCAATAGCATAATTTTTCTTTTTGTAGTATGTGTGTAGATAAGCCAATATTCATGTGGGTGTAGAAAAAATTCGTTTTAGTCATAGTTTAACAATACCCCGCCATCATACTATTCAAGCGATCTTTTACTTATCAAATTTCGGCTGTATACAAATCATGCTTCGAAATATTAAAGTTAGCTTTAAAAATCTTAAAATAAATCCATCTTACTGAATAATTAAATGATTTTTAAAACTTCCCGGTATAATTTCTTTCCGATTAAGTTTCCATGTTATTTTTTCCTACACCCGTTTATTTTTCCTACACCCGTTTATTTTTCCTCTTTATATTATATTGCATTTATTGTTATTTTGGGTAATGGAATTAAAGACCTAATTCTAATAATATTAATGTACACTTTAAGATATATTACATTATTTTTCAATTGTATTAATGCATTTTTTGTAAAACTGTTTTAACCGTCAATAAATAAAACAAAAATAATATTTTTCAGTGCTGATCCACCTACACCAATATCGCTGTCGTACCAGCATTACCTCCCGTATCCCCCAGTTCGCCGTAGGATGCACATATCAGCGTTATTTCCTGTACCGTCAGCCATTGGGGTGAGCTGATCAAGGCTCGTAAAGTCCATGCGAAAAAGATGGCTACAGATATGCGGTCGCCTAACGTTTCAGTCACACCGATCAACATGGAACCTTATCCACCTCCAGGGGAGCCTCCGCAGCGTACACGAAGCGCTCCTCACCCCGCCGCTTTAATTTCAAATGGTAAGACTGTTTAAAATTAAGAACATATTTGTGCTGAACTTTTCATACCTACTTGAAATTTTGAATTATCGATGTAATCGATTAACAGGATAATGCCACAAGATATGAGAATTTTTTGAGAACATTTTGTTGTTTCTTTGGAAATTATGCGTCCAAATTTCACGAAACAAATTCTCCTTAAATTTCAGGAATGTTTTTTTTTTTTTAATTATCACCTTGCGTGGTGTTTGGAAAGATTACACAGGGCAACAAAAAAATATTTTTTTTTGTGCCTGGGATTTTAGAGCTGATTTTAACTATATTTGGGACGCTAAATCTGTACATGCAATCCGTTTTTCTCTATCAGCTCTACTTTTTTAGATACATCAACTTATCTACCAATGTGGTTTTCATTTAGTATATTCATTTATGAGAGTTCTAAAATTATTTTACAGGGTGTCTGTAAAAGGTCTTTACAAAAACATACCACATATTCCTTCGACCAAAATAAGTCGATTTAAGTAAAATTACCTTAGTACAAAGTTGCTTCGTTTGGGCTCCAGAGGGCCGTGAAGTTACAATTTTTAAATCGTTTTTCCCATATAAATTTAAAACGGCATATGCGATTTTGCTGAAATTTGGTATATTGGTAGAGTTTTATGTGGCAAAAAAATGGTATTAAAATTTTGTCCGATAATAATACATAGGCGTAGAACTTGATTTTTTAAATAATTGCACCTTTAAAAATTCTACGCCAATGGAAAAAAAGGAATTTGAGTATGAAATTTAGATTGCGCAACTCATTTACTTTAAAAAAGGTACTCTTGATAAGACTCAATTACTCTCATGGTTTTCGCTAAATTTCTGTTTTAATAATTTAGAGTGTATAGGTTTCACAAAAATATTTATTTACAACATAATCAAAATAGAGATTTTACAAAAATTGTTCAAAATGTTCACCATTTTCACGCATACAAAGATTTATACGTCGAAGAAAATTAAAATGTATCCTTTCCATAACTTCGTCATCACCTCTAAGATTGTTTATTGCATCTTGAATACGTTGCCAGAGTTGTTCCTCATTTTCTACAGGTTCCCTGTAAACTGTGGATTTCAGATGTCCCCATAAAAAATAAAAAAAATTCTACGCCAATGGCAAAAAAGGGGTTTGAGTATGAAATTTTGATTGGGTACTCACTTACTACAAAAAAGTACCCTTGATAACTAAAGCTCGGATTTATAGGCAAAAAAAATGAAGGAAAAGGCGCCTATATAGGCAAAAAAATTTAATTGAAAAAGGCAGAAATCTGAACAAATAGGCAACATATAGGCAATATAGGCAAATGCCTTTAAATCCATAATTTTTAATAATAACTTAAGACAAAAAATATATTTACACAACATAATAGCTAAATAATTGTTAAATAATAATTAAACATTGTAACCACTTAAAATATTATCATTAATAGCTACAACTAAGTGCTTTTCTATATTTTCAGTCTTAAAACTTTGTCGTCTATCACTTAAAAATAATTTGTACATTGAAAATGAACGCTCTACTTCGACAGATGTAATTGGAGCATATTTAAGAGCGGATAATAAATCTGGCTGAATTTGTAGTTCTTCGGAAAATGTCCCATTCAAAATTTTGGCAACATTAGACAAAAACGAGAAACCTTCATTCTTGTCAAAAACATCTTTCATTTTTTTAAAAATTAATTGACCATTTCTTCCAGGTACTGACTTAATTTTTGACTTTAAATTATCTACTAATTTTACTGACTCACATAAATTTACCTCTTGTCGTTCTAATAAGGTAATTGTGCTAACTATTGATTTATAATTGCCATTGATATAAGCTAGTTCCTGTTTTAATTTCGGATTTTTTAATATTTTTTTTTGCTTCTCGAATGGCTTCGGAAATATTATCATTAAATTCTGTCATTACTAATTGTATTTCATCGCAGTGTTCAAAGTAAAAGAAAACTGCTTCGAGCCACGTTCTCCACCTTATAATTACTGGTTTAGGTGGCAAAGGGACACCGGGAAGTTTTTCTTTATATATCTGCACCCTCAACGTAGCCTTTAGGAAAACGTTTTTCATACAATTTATAAAATCATTCACCAACGGAAACAGATTTCTTATTTCTTCTTATAGAGTACAACTGGTGATTGTTTATTATAAATTATAAAAGGGGAAAAGATTAGGGATTCCTAAGCATTAATCTCTAACAGGTACATTTTCCTAGAAATCCATTATCAACAAACCATTGATATTCTATTATTGACCCAAAATGTTGTTATAGAAAGGTTTAGTAATCGTAATATGAATAATATCATGGGTAGTAACAAAAAAATTTAAAAAAAGGCATAAAAAGCCGGAATTTACGAAAAAAGGCAAAATGTACAGAAAACACATCGAATAGGCAAAAAAGGCATTTTGCCTATAATCCGAGCTTTATTGATAACACTCGATTTACTCTCATGGTTTTGACAAAGTTTGTATTTTAATAATTATTGTTTATGTTCTAAAATTACTAAAATGCAAATTTCGTCAAAACCATGAGAGTAATCGAGTCTTAACAAGAGTACCTTTTTTAAAGTAAATGAGTTGCGCAATCTAAATTTCATACTCAAACTCCTTTTCTTTCATTGGCGTAGAATTTTTAAAGGTGCAATTATTTAAAAAATCAAGTTCTACGCCTATAATTATTATCGGACAAAATTTTAATACCATTTTTTTTGCCACATAAAACTCTACCAATATACCAAATTTCAGCAAAATCGCATATGCCGTTTTAAATTTATATGGGAAAAACGATTTAAAAATTGTAACTTCAAGGCCCTCTGGAGTCCAAACGAAGCAACTTTGTACTAAGGTAATTTTACTTAAATCGACTTATTTTGGTCTAAGGAATATGTGGTATGTTTTTGTAAAGACCTTTTACCCTGTATATTCATTAATGTAGGTACAATGGTTTTATTGTCAGTCTGTAATTGAGCAAATTCCAGGTAAATCTATAAATAGTGGAACCATTGCCTATCAGGTACCTGAACTGACCCTTTTAATCCCCTAACTCGGGTAAGTCTCGTCAGTTTGTGCGTTATTACTAATGAGAGTAGATCGAATTCGGCGTGTTATTTTATGTTAAGAAAAGAGTGTTTTTGTGTTATTGAACAGAATTAAAATGAGTTCAGGTTCCAGTTCAAGAAGAAGTTGTGTAAATCAACCTGATGTGTTTTGCTGTATATGCGGAGAATACATGTTTCAACAAAACAGACGAACTATTACTGACTTTGTAAAGGCGAGCGTATCTTGGATATTTTGGAGTTAACCTTGGTGATCAGGACAAAAAGTGGGCCCCGCATCTCGTATGTAAAACTTGTATAGATCATTTATGGCAATGGACTACCGGGAAAAGAAAATGTCTAAAATTCGGCGTACCAATGATTTGGAGAGAACCAAAAAAACCATTTCAATGATTGTTATTTCTGTTTAGTAAATACTAAAGGAATCAATCGAAATAACCGCAGTAAGTGGACTTATCCCAATGTAGACTCGGCAATACGCCCTATCCCGCACTCAGATGAAATACCGATTCCAACATTTCATCAGCTACCAGATATCTCTGATGACGAATATTTTCCCTCTGATCGCTGTTCTGATGCTAATAAAAGTTCTGATACTAATGAAACTAACAGTGACTATAAGGAGACGTCATCAGTTCATCAACGCTTCAATCAAAATGAATTAAATGATCTCACCAGGGATCTCAATTTATCGAAAAAAGCTTCTGAAGTACTGGCTTCTAGGTTGAACGACAAAAATTTATTGGAACAAGGAACCAAAATTACCTTTTACCGTACAAGAGAAAAGTATCTGCTACCATTCTTTTCTCAAGAAGACAATCTTGTATTTTGTCACGAAATTAATGGACTCGTGAAAGAAATGGGACTTTCTGAATATATTCCAGATGATTGGCGCCTATTTATTGACAGTTCAAAGCGAAGTTTAAAATGCGTCCTTCTACATAATGGGAATAAATATGGTTCAATACCACTAGCTCACTCAACGAAACTGAAAGAAGAATATAATACCGTAGCTTTGGTCTTGCAGAAGATAAAGTATCACGAACATCAATGGATGATTTGTGTAGACTTAAAAATGGTAAACTTTCTTCTTGGGCAGCAAAGTGGTTACACGAAATATCCGTGTTTCTTGTGTCTCTGGGATAGTAGGGACAAAACACACCACTGGGTTAGAAAATATTGGCCTCAAAGAGAAAACATGGACGTTGGGGAAAAGAATGTCATTAACGACGCTTTGGTTGAAAGAGAAAAATCATACTTTCTCCGTTACATATAAAGTTGGGCTTAATGAAGCAATTTGTAAAGGCTCTTGATAAGAATGGGTCATGTTTTGCATATACGTATAGGGGTAAAAATGCATCAGTTGAGCACAGAAAAACTCAAAGCAGGGATATTTGATGGCCCACAAATAAGACAATTAATTAAGGATCCTGCCTTCATAAATTCAATGAATCAAGTTGAACGGGAAGCTTGGTCATCATTTGTTGCAGTTGTAGAAAATTTTCTAGGCAAACATAAAGCTCAAAACTATGTTGAAATGGTTAACAAGATGCTTAATAGTTTCAAATCCTTAGGATGCAATATGAGTATTAAAATACACTATCTACACAACCACTTAGACCTTTTTCCAGAAAATTTAGGAGGCATGAATGAGGAACAAGGTGAAAGATTTCACCGAGATATTAAAGTTATGGAGGACCGCTACCAAGGAAGATGGGACATGCACATGATGGCAGATTACTGCTGGAGTTTAAAAAGGGACTGTTTAAAAAAACATTCAAGAATGTCGCGGAAAAGAAGCTTTCGAAGTGTTGAGTGACTATTTGATTTATTCAATGTTTTTTTTTTGTTTGTAAGTACGACATAATATTGTATTTGTTTAACTAAAATAAAAATTTCGTATCTACTTTTGTTTACTACACTTACGGATT